TCTCTCTCTCTCTCTCTCTCTCTTTCTTTCTCTTTTTCTTTCTTTCTCTCTCTTTCTTTTTCTTTCTTTCCTTCCTTCTCTCTCTCTCTCTCTCTCTCTTTCTTTCTTTCTTTCTTTCTTTCTTTCTTTCTTTCTTTTTCTTTCTTTCTTTCCTTCTTTCCCTCTCTCTTTCTTTCTTTCCTTCTCTCTCTCTCTCTCTTTCTTTCTTTCTCTTTTTCTTTCTTTCTTTCTTTCTTTCTTTCTTTCTTTCTTTCTTTCTTTCTTTCTTTCTTTCACTCTTTCTCTTTCTTTCTTTCTTTCTTTCTTTCTTTCTTTCTTTCTTTCTTTTTCTTTCTCTCTCTCTCTCTCTCTCTCTCTCCCTTTTTCTTTCCTTCTCTCTCTCTCTCTTTCTTTTTCCTTTTAAAATAAATTTTACTGAGTGTGAACATTAAAAACACTGAACACGGTGATCTTTGACATGGGGGTCGTGGTGGTCTTCTAAGACCACACCTAGAGTTCTGCATCCAGTTTTGGTCCCCACATTATAAAAAAGATGTTGAGACTCTAGAAAAAGTGCAGAGAAGAGCAACCAGGATGATTAGGGGACTGGAGGCTAAAATATATGATGAGCGGTTGCAGGAACTGGGCCTGGCTGGTCTAGGGAAGAGAAGGACCAGGGGAGACAGGAGAGCAGCCTTCCAATATTTGAGGGGCTGCCACAGAGAGGAGGAAGGGGTCAAGCTATTTCCCAAAGCACCCGAAGAGCCAGACAAGGAATAATGGATGGAAACTGAACAAGGAGAGATTCAACCTGGAAATAAGGAGGAATTTTCTGACAGTGAGATGCATCCCTCAGCCCTGCTCCTGCTGCTCCTCCTCTCTGCAAACCCCACTCCTTTTAGGGCTGATTATGTCGCCTAATTTGGTAATAAAACTTCTACAAGAAAACAACCAAGCTCAGAGAGCACTAAGGACCCCATAAAACACAACCTAATAAGATTTATTAACATCTTCTGTAAAAAGGGTTTTGTTTATGGTAACTCAGATTCTTTTATTTGAAGGAACGCTCTTGAAGAAGCTAAAGGATCAAATCAAATCACGAAGTATGCAAAAGCATGGCTTTAGAAAAAGTATTTCATCATTCCCCCCCCCCTCTCAGAAGAACTATAATAAAATGCTTTTAATCGCTTCATTAAAAGCAGCTTTTCAACTCCAGCAACTTTAAAACTGGCTGGGTTTCAACTCCTAGAACGCCCCCCCCCCCCCGGAGCCTCCCGGGACTTCAACTCCCAGAGTTCCCTTCTTTTCGACAGGGCCGAGCCTCTGCACCCCCTACCTGGGCCAATGGGAGCAAAGAAAGAGGGGTCCCGCTGCCTGGGATTGGAAGAGGAACCTGCCACTCCGAAGCCCTCCGCATTAACGCTGGATGAGTCTCGCGCGCTGCGTTTGCTTGCTGCAGCGAGCGGGGAAGAATCTCTCGGGGACTCGTCCCTTTGGTGCAACCATGCCGGTAGATTTGAGCGGCTGGGGAGGCGCCTTAAGCCTCCCCGAGGTGGAAGACAAGCCGTTGCATCCCCTACGGGTCCGCTACGGGTCGGTGGAAATCGAGGAGCTCGGTCAAGTGCTCACACCCACCCAGGTAGTAAAGGCCGCTTTGCGCGGGGTTGCAAAGTTGCATCGTCTTTGCAAAAGGGACGCCCCCTTTTTCGTCCTTCGGCCGGGAGGGAGCTGGGGGCCTTTGCACAACCCTCTCCCTCCCTCCCCGCTCTCGAATTTCCACGCACGTTTCCCCCCCCCTTATGCTTCCAAAATCCACTCTGCAAAAGCGTTTCGGGGCGCCCGCTTGCAACGGTTATAAAAGCGGGGACACCCCATAAAACGAGGTCGGAAACGCCCCGCATTTGCAGGATTCGATGCATTGGCTGACAAGCACCTGGATCATTTCAGAGTTTCTTCCCCTCCGCCGCCCCCCAACTCCAAATTTACAGTTATATGGGATCCCGCAGTCTCCCTTGTTGCAAATTGCCAACGTGCCGCAATTGCAACCGGGGAGGCAAAGTCCCGTTTGGATGCCCTCGCCCCCCCCTCGGGATTCTGTCCTTTGCAAGGGAACCCCAAATAAATAAATAAATTTTAAAAAGCATGCATCTGAACGTGCATTATGGTCTGCTTGGAAGGCCCGAGAATCCTGCGTAGCCTTTTGGAGAGAAAAAAAAAAAAAAGGCAAGCGATCGTTTTTAATGCAAACGGTTGCTTTGCAAAAATCCTGGCCTTTAAAGAGAGAAGAGCAAGGTGCAAACGTTTCAAAAAAAAAATGCCCACCCTAAAAATATAAAGGCTCCTATTGCCAAGATGGCATCTTCCCAAAGAGAGGCGGAGACCAGCAGCGAAGAGGCCCGGTGCCACGGTTCTCCCTCCCCTTCCCTCCGTTGCGGGCCCAGGAAGCGCGGGGTGAAGGCCGCCCGCGTTGCAACATCGAGAACGGAGCCTTTGAACTAAATCGGACGCGGATAAAGTGCATGCAATGCAAAACCCTTTGCTTTTGACAGCCTTTGGGAAGGTGTATCTGGGTGAGAAGGACGCCAGGGTTTAATGCCTAACCCAAATGGTGGCTTATTTTGAATTCAACCAGCTTCCGCATATGCAGATGTCCAGCTTTACATGTTTATTTGTCAAATCGACTGCCTTTCAAATGTAATTATTTATCCAGATGCACGTCTGCTAATCTATGCTAAAATGTGCAGACAAGGGTGGTTTAAAATCTTTTATTGCCTTATATCCCACTGAATGCAGCTCAGCCCCTTCCCAAAATAATCTCCAAGAGTTTGCTATTCAAGCGAAATCTGTTGGGGAATTGTGGCATCTTTGGTTGCTCTCTGAACCTGGTTGTTTTCTTGCAGACTTTGCGTTACCCAGCTAGGTAACACCAACAGGGTTAGGAGGGAGTGGAGTTTGCATGGAGGAGGAGGAGAACTGTTGGGTCCTTGGTGCACTCTGAGCTTGGTTGTTTCCTTGCAGGTGTTTCAATATCAAACTAAGTTAACACCAGTGAACTGATGATGTTAGCTAGTTTGGTAATGAAAAGTCTATCAGAAACCACCAACCTCAGAAGGTGCCAAGGACCCCACAGTCCCTCCTCCTCTTCTGCCTCCTCCTCCATCTTTGCACACCAAACTCCTTTCCAGCACTGATGATGTTACCCAGCCTGATAATGAAATGTCTACAAGAAACCACCAACCTCAGAGGGCACCAAGGATCCCACAGTCCCTTCTCCTTCCCCTCCTCTTCCTCTTTCTGCTGTGCACACATCCAACTCCCCTCTAGCACTGATGACGTTACCCAGTCTGGTAATGAAACGTCTACCAGAAACCACCAACCTCAGAGGGCACCAATGACTCCATAGTCGGTCTTCCTCCTCTTTGCACACCTAAGTAGTCTGATAACATTACTTAGTTGGGTAATGAAATGTCTGCAACAAAAGCACCAAGGACTCCGCAGTCATTCCTCCTCCTCCCCCTCCCTCCCTTTAGCACCTAGTTTGGGTAGTGAAACCTCTGCAAGAAAGCCACCAAACTTAGAGACCCCAAGGACCCCAGCGTCCTCTTCCTTCCTGCAAACCCCACTCCCTTCTAGCACTGATGGTGTTACCTAGCTGGGTCATGAAACGGAACAGGAAATGCTTTTTTTTTATTTTTTTATTTTTGCTGAAAATGCAGGCTGTCTGCAGAGGGAGAAAAAATTGACAACTTTTACTGTAGAGCTGACTTAGTCAATGGATATTGCTTCTGCCCTGTTTTCTTTTTTCCTTTTTCCTTTTTCCTGTTTTAAACAGGAGCAACATTTTTATTCTTGTTTATTTGGGCAGGTCAAGAATCGGCCCACCCTGATCGAGTGGGACAATTGCAGCCCAGATAAATTCTACACTTTGGCTCTTACGGATCCTGATGCTCCCAGCAGGAAAACCCCCAAATTCAGGTAAGGGGGGGATGCTTGGAAAAGGTAGGGAGTCCCCGTGAAGAGGAACATTTCTCCGCATGTTGCAAGGTGGGATTTGCAGACATGAAAACCCAATTTCTCTTCTCCTGTTTTAGGGAGTGGCACCACTTTTTGGTGACCAACATGAGAGGAAATGATATCTCCAGTGGGAATGTTTTGTCTGACTACGTTGGATCTGGGCCTCCCAAAGGAACAGGTAAGTGGCCAGCAGTTCCCTTTTAAGGCAAAGTGAGTAGTTGCTATATGCATTACCTTTCAAACTAGACAGACAGTCAGATAAATGAAAGATGATAAATATATAGTTACATGTAGATAGTTGATAGATACAGTGGATGGGTGGATGGATGGATGAGATTAGATAGGAGATGGATGGATGGATGGATCCATCCATCTATCCATCCCTCCATCCATGCAATCTTCCACCTCTCCATCCATCATCATCCCCTTATCCTTCCTCGCATCTATCAATCCACCCACCGATCCATCCATCCATCTATCCCTTCATCCTCCTATCCCTCCATCATCCATCCTCTTATCCTTCTGTTCTGACCTACGCCCTTTTATAACAAATCAAACACAATCCAAAGGGAACAGAAACCTTGTAATGCTTCTGCAAAATAATTAGCTGTGATAAGCACAAGCCTTGCCAAACTGTGCAAGACTTGCTAAAAGATAACAAGAAATAATTTGCAATACAAGAATCTTCAAATACAGACTCATAATACTGGAATGTCCACGAGGCTGAGTTTCAAAACATCTTTGCCTTCTGCAAAGTATGTTCCTTTCACAGCTAGCTTTTATCTTCTTGAAGGAGGGGCCATTACCTTGCAGCCTTACTCCCGAGTCAACCGTGCTGTTGTAGCTGCTCTTTCCTACGAGCAATCCTACACGCACTTGGCACAGGCTCCTCGGGAACCTCCTCATCACTGCTGCCAGTCCCCACAATCTCTGAAGGCAGCAGTCCACTCCCTAATGGTCCTGGGCCCCTCATCTGAGTCCTCGCTCTCCTCACCCATCCACACCTGCTGCCAGCTAACCACAACACCTTCCTCCTATCTATTCATCCATCCATCTTCTCATCCATTGTCCCCTTCCTTCCTCCCTCCCTCCCATCCCTCCATTGTCCCTTTCCTGCCATTCATCCAATCCGTCTTCCGATTGGCATGCTGCTTGACTCCCCCAACAGCTCTTGAGGGCAGAGGGCTGGATTGAACCTTCCTTAAAAGGGGTTTTCTGCTTCTTATTTTTCTCCTGTGCATTTCCAGGCCTCCACCGCTACGTGTGGCTGGTCTACGAGCAGCCCCAGCAGCTGAGTTGCAAGGAGCCCATCCTGAGCAACCGTTCGGGGGATAAACGTGGCAACTTCAAAATATCAACCTTCCGCAAGAAATACAAGCTGGGTACCCCCGTGGCGGGCACCTGCTACCAAGCCGAATGGGATGACTACGTGCCCAAACTCTACGAGCAGCTGTCTGGGAAATAAAATTGCCTCCATTTCGTGCCCTAGTTCCTCTTTCTTGTAAATTCTCCCCTTAGGATAAATGGCCTGTTTAATTTCCGGATGCATTATTAAAAACAATTTCCCATTGAATTGGTAACGTGAATTAATCTACGTTAATTCATTATAGCAACCTTGATGGTTTTAAAAGTTTTTTAAAACCCCTGCAACTTAATTGTATGTTGCATTGCTACTTTTGAGAAGTTTCTATCCTGAGAATAGAAAAAAACTGTTTCCTATAACCATCTTGGTATGACAAGAGCAACTTAGCTGGTTGTGAAGGGGAATTGAACCTCTTGCTTTGCCTAAAGAAAAAAAAAAGGCATAAGTGCCAAACGTTTTGTGTAGAACACCACAACCTGCACTCCTATAGAGTCAGTGGAATGATAACTGCAGTATTTCTAGCCAGCAATGGGATTGTGGAGCCCAATGCATCTGGAAGGTGCCAGATAAATTGAGGAATATCATAAAATTGGAGTATAAGCATCTTACCGTAAGTTTGAGGCAGAGCTGGTTCACTGTAGTTTGCAACTAAAGCTTCCTGTAATCTCCGCTTACAGTGATTTTCCATTAAAGAGGAATTTGGCTATGGACTCGACCTTAGCAATTTGTTTAGATTTTGGTTATCTTGATGAACTCTGCTGTTACTGGATATCAAAGTTCTTGTGTCTGTTTTAGAAGGCCGGGATTGTTCAAATTGTATTTATCTCATTTTACCAATAACATTTCTGGATATCATTTTTTTCCCCTCTAAGTTGCTGTTAGAGTACATAGCAACCCTTGGATGTTTTCCCATTTTCATATTTAGTATACACATTCACTGAGATTGAGAAACGAAAGTTTGTGTCTTTATGGATTTGCTTTGAGAAGTTTTCCATTAAAAATGAGAGTTGTCTTTACTTTTTATGCTGTTCCTTCATAGATAAGTAGGCTGGATTAACCAGAGTAGTTTCATCGCAAAGCTTGGCTCATTAACCTTAGTTAGGCATTCCCATAAACCCAGTTCTTCTGGTTAGCTTAATGACTGTACAGGTAGTCCTTGTCATGACCATAATTGAGCCCCAAATTCCTGTCTTTAAGTGAAACATTTGTTAAGCAAGTTTTGCCCTATTTTACGACGTTTCTTGCACAGTTGTTGAATGAACCATTGCAGTTGTTTAATAAGTGAATCAGGCTGCCCCTCTGCTTGTCAAAAGGTGATCACGTTATCCAGGACATTGCAATGGTCATAAATATGAGTTTTGCCAAGGATCTGAAGCTTGATCTGATGAGCAATAGTTGTAAGTGTGAAAAATGGTCACAAGACACTTTTTTCAGTGGCATTGTAACTGAATGGTCACTAAATGAACTGGCATGCTGAGGGCTACCTGTATTGTGTTATGTCACAGAATTGGTTTGTTCAGTAACCAAGTTAACTTGGTTATAAGTTGAGGGGTCTATTCCAGTCTCTGGTATTTTAAGACTCCTGAACAGGTTTTATTTTGATATTGTTTCAATTATTGCTTGGGAACAGAATTTGATAAAAGGTGGGAGGTTATATAAATGTTCTAAGTAAAATAAACATTGTCCAAGCTTGCTAAAAAACTGAAGAGTAGAACATTATTTTCAATTGTTGAGCGACTTTTGAAGAAAAATAATTGTCCTCCATTTCTCACCCTGCCATCCTGGACAGTAGAAAACAACGGTGCCCCTAATTATCATAATCTTCTTCTCCTTCTCCTTCTCCTCCTCCTCCAACAACAACAATAATATTTTTATTATTTGTTTTATTATTTATTATTATACGAATTTGCACAGGACTTTATTTCTCCTTGTCTGCCCCTACCTCCCCCCCATCTTTTCTGATACCCCTGAGCAAAAAAATAGGTATTAAGGCCATTACTTGTTGAACTGAAATGTTAGGGTTAGGATAAGACTGGCAAGTGAGGTCATAAATGGGGCAGAACTCACTTAACCAACGTCCCACTTAGCAACATAAATTTTGGGCTCCATTGTGGTTGTAAGTTGAGTGTTAAGTGTGGTAAGTCGAGGACTACCTGTACAGAATAACAGAGTTGGAAGGGACTTTGGAGGTCTTCTAGTCCAACCCCCTGCCTAGGCAGGAAACCCTACACCACTTCAGACAATTGCTTATCCAATCTCTTCTTAAAAACTTCCAGTATAGAAGCATCCACAACTTCTGGAGGCAAGTTGTTCCTCTGATTAATTGTTCTAACTGTCAGGAAATTTTGCCTTAGTTCTAAGTTGCTTCTCTCCTTGATTAGTTTCCATCCCTTGCTTCTTGTCCAGCCTTCAGCTGCTTTGGACAATAGCTTGACCCCTTCATTTTTGTAGGAGCCCCTCAAATCTTGGAAGACTACAGTAAGGCTGAGTCAGTTCCTTCCCTCCAAAGTGCAGCAACTGTGTTCAAGGCCCCATTAAATGACAGTTTTGTGCTTAGGCCTCAGGCCTAAAAGTGCAGAAGGAGCCACAGATACACAAATAGTGAAGAGTGGGCTCTGCTCAGTTCCTCAGAAGTAGGGAGTCAAAATTCTGTGTCTCCGCTTTTTAAATTCCTTTTTTCCTCCTATTTTCTTTCCTTCCATTTTTTCCTTCCTTTGATTCTTTTCTCCCTCCAATTTTCTTTCCTCGCATTTTCTTTCTCCCTCAAATTTTCTTTTTCCATTTTCCTTCCTTTGATTCTTTTCTCCCTCAAATTTTCCTTCCATTTTCTTTCCTTCCTCCAATTTTCTTTCTTTCCTCTCTTCCCTCCCATTTTCTTTCCATTTTTCCTTCCTTTCCTTGTTTTCTCTCTCCAATATTCCTTCCTCCCATTTTCTTCCTTCTTTCCTCCCCATTTTCCTCCTTTTTTTATCTTCCCTCCCCCTTTCCCCTTCTTTTTTCTTGGCTTCTCTCTTTTATTCTATTGCAAAATTTTAGTGGAGATTTTTTTTTTTTTTAAAAAAAAAGACGTTAAAGAGAGAAAACGTCCCAAAGGATGGATGGTATTCTCCACTTTGAAAAGAGTCCCGTGAGAGGTCGTTTGGTCGCTCTAACCTTTTCCTAGCTCTGCGGTCGGGAGGGAAGGGGAGGGGTGCGGGGGGGGGGAAGGAGCACCCTGGCTTGCGCCTGCGCAGAAGACCCACTCCTGCCCCTTCTTTGAACCACGTGGGGAGGGGGGGTGTTCCAGAACGCGATTGCGTCACAGCGAGTTTCAAGGAGATTCCGGGCGTCTCTTTCGCAGCGGCTGCCGGAGCGAAGCCGGTGCAACCGCAGCAGCCACCGACCTCGCCATGCCCAGGGGCAGCCGGAGCGCGCCGCCTCGGCCGGCCGCCACCAGGTAGGCGTGGGGGACGCAGCCCACCTGTCCACCTCTCGACCTCCCCTCCTAAAAAAAAAAAAGGCTCCTGCCACTCTTTCGCCCTCACCCACCCTCCCACCTGGTAGAAGCCCAACGACTCCTCTCCAAGGTCAGAGAGCAGGAGAAAGCGCTCTGTGCATGCTCAGGAGCCCTGTCTTGGGGAGGATGAGGGGGGTCCTTGTGTTTAAAAGGCCACGGGTGGGGTCTCAGCCGACGTCAAAAGCTTTCGGGGTTCTCTTTTTCTCTTTAGAAGGGAGGCTGAGGGATTTTTCCCTCCAAGGGAGGGAGACAGGGAGCACTCTGTGCATCCTCAGGAGCCTTGTCTTCCGGGGGGGGAACAAGGGGGGTTGCCTGTGTTTAAAAGGCCGTGGGTTGGACCTCAGCCGACTTCAAAAGCTTTTGGGGTTCTCTCTCTCTTGGACTCATCCCTCCAAGGGAGGAAGACAGGGAGCACTCTGTACATGCTCAGGAACCCTGTCTT